TGGCATAGTTGGGTCCAGTATAGATGATATCTGACAGTGATTAAAATCATTGTCATAAAAAACGCTTCATCGTAAATCTGTAGTTAGTGTTTAATTTAAAAAAAAAAAATTTGTTAAAATAACATATTTTTGAATACGGTAGCCATTTGTGCATAGAAGATAGGCCGTCGGGACAAATTTTTTTATTTTATAGTACATAAAATAATCTTTAATTTGATATATGTTTAAAAGACGTCGTATTTCCGGAACATTTCCAAAAATTAAGTTGAAAAAGTTATTTTTTGTAAAAAAGTTACTATTTTAAATCCCCCCCCAGCGAGCAGAATAAGTGTTAAATTTTCAAAAAAAATTATATCAACTGAAAGAAAAATATCTAAGTTTTTAGTATAAAAAAAAATTATGTAGATTTGTTCATTTTTCAAAAAGTTATGGAAGTTTTAAGAAAAAAAAGTGAAAAAATTTCGAAAATTAGCGATTTTTAAATTTGTAATTTTTTTGAATATTTTCCCCATTTGCGGGAAACGAGGGAATTTTTTTTCATTTTTAAGAGTAATGTCTCCAACTAGATACGATTTGTGATCTTTTGACGTATTTTTGAAAGAAATTGGTCCAGTGAGAGCTGAGAAAAAAAGTGACAACAGACATAAAAAAAAAAAAAAACACATCATAGTAAAATTAATACCTTCTCAGCTTCGCATCAAAGCTAAAATAGGCTCAATACTAAATCAATCAATAAAATATAATTTTGTTTACACAGGAGATATTAAAGTAAATCAATGATATGATAAAACAAAAAAAAAAAACTAAAGAAAATTGAATCAACTACACAGAAATATTTATTATATTAGCAAACATTAAAAAAAAAATTGTAAATTATTAACGACACATTAGTGTAATAATTAACAACAATACACATAATATTCGCGAATATTTTAATTCTAAAAAAATTTTACATGCGACAAAGGATAATAATTTATTAAAGCTTTACTTTTATGATTAATTTATAAAATTATTTTTGGATAAAATCATAATTTTTATGAATAAATACAATAACCCATATCCTTATTATACTGGTATAGTGAAAATTTCTTATAATATATTTATTTAATCAAATCTACCAATTTTTATTATGGTCTGGTCTATTTTAAGATAAACATCTATAGGATATATAATTTATAATTAATATGAACATTTTCACATTTAATACGAATAAATTTGTTCAAATATTAAAACCACAGTACTAAGTTATTAAAATAAATGTAATTAAGAAAAAGTTGAATAAAAAAAAAATATTGTCAAAAATATAATACACGTACAAACATTATATGTTTATTTTTATTTATTTAAACTACTATTACTTTACAAAAGTATTGTAGAATATTTTTAAAGGCTCTAATGTTTTTTGAAACAAGATCATATAATTGTCTATAAATTATTATAAAACTGAAAAACAAAAATTGCTTGACTGTTTGGTTGATTATTTTTATATTACTGAATCATTAACTGAATGTTTAAGATTCAAATTTATACTTATAATAATTATTATTCATAAAATATTAAACGTAATGAACTCATTAAAAAAAAAAAAAAAAATGATATTGTATTATATAGTTTAACTCATCCGCAACTACAGAAATTGTATTCTTTATTTGTTGACTAAAACACAAGACTAGGAATACTTAAAAATTATTTAAAGATTAGATTATGTATTATGAGTATTATGAGTATTAAAAACTCTAGAATAATGCTGTACACTTATTTATGTAGTTTAAAGTAATTAATTAACAGGTAATAAATAAGACCACGAATTTTATTTCACGATAATATTGTTCACGATAAAAATAATAATAATTATGTGATAATAAAGGTGTATATCAAAATAGAGTTCTGTTTATATATATATCACATATTAATTAGTCAGTGCAAAAAAATAAACCAATAACGAAAAACGTAATGCCGCCATCAGCGTGACCGGTTCACGGTGCCTTTCAGCTACCCCACAGCCACGACCTGTCGTCCGTGAAGAGGAAGGGCTGTGGTTACCATCCAGTGTTAATACCGGAAGTGCGATGAGACCGCGACACACTACAGGATGTAAATTATCCTAAAACAATTTTTTTTTTGAAAATGGTTTCACTCATTTGCAAAAAAAATATAATTTGGAATAGTTTACTTCTGGTGAACAAAATATATAAAAGATAACTTAAACCTAACTGACAACTGTCGTAATATGCCCAAAGCTTTGCATTTTTTTGTTGATATATGTACGCATCTTACATTTATTAACGAAAATTTTTAAATCTGTACTTTATATTACTAGTATATAAACAAATAATTAACTTAACTGTCATAACTAGCGCTCAAAAACAAAAAAAAACAATGCCAAAAGAATAACTAACGAGCCCAGCTCGTTTGCAAAATTTTGTTTCGGATTTCGGCAGAGATATATTATCAACTGAAAATAAAGTGCTAATAAAATAAATGTATCAAGTGAAAAATGTTTTAGTGTAACTCAACACATCGCTTCAACACGTAAACGCGCAGTATAACGTTTACAAAAAAGTGAAGATAATACAAAAATTTAGCTGCTCGCATCAACCATTTCAGAAAAAAAAAAATGAATACAATATTGAATAGAGCGATGCTAGCCACTAATATTACTCTAAACAAACTATCCAATTCACAATTCAGAAGTTTCCGCGAGAAGTATCCTGGAAAAGATACCTCTGTTGAATCTACTTTGCGTTTGGGATATGTTGACCAATACTACAACAAAACAATGAACGAGATCATGAAAAACGTGATCGTTAGCAAAATATGGGTATTTATAGACGAGACAACAATTATTGAGGGAAGATACATAGTAAATACAATAATGGGAACACTTTTGCATGGTTTTCTCGGCGAAATATTTTTGTTAAATATTGAAGAACTTGTCAAAGTATTCCACTCAATTACACTTAATTCTGTGTCTTATATCTTCGTCAATAACACCACTCTTTTGCACAACTGACATTAAATACTTAGAGCTCCCCACCTCTCCGATCACGACCTCCTAATAAAATAAATGCTATAATAATTAAATGAATAGTAAAAAACCCAGCACAGGGGGGTCGCGGCACAGTTGTGACGTGTTATAGTTGGATCAAGTATAATGATATCTGACAGTGATTAAAATCACTATCAAAAATAAACGCTTCGATGCAAATCTTTAGATAGTGTTTAATTTAAAAAAAATTGGTGTTTTATTCCAAAAGCTACTTAATCTATTGGTTCCTTATTAATATCTCGATAAAATTAAAGTATGTCAAATGAAAAAGGGTTTATTAAAAAATATTATTTCTCATAAAAAAATTGTGTGGGGACATAAACTTTTCAATAAGTTATAGCATTATAAAGTTAAATATTATATAAATAATAAAATCGAGAATTTTCACACGAAAATAGCATTCGGTAGCCATTTTCGCCGTGAAAACAAGTCCAGAGGTCATAATTTTTTTTCAAATTAAAGTATATTACATTAGCTTTAATTTAAGATATATATAAAAGTGTCAGACCTTCCGGAACATTTTCAAAAGTTATGTTGAAAAAGTAAATTTTTTGTGAAAAAGTTGTCATTTTAAATCCCCCCGTGTGGGCAGAAAAAAAGTCAAATTTACAAAAAAAATATACCAAATAATAGGTAAAGACATCAAGCATCTATATAAAAAAAATTATATTGATATGTTTATTTTTGAAAAAGTTACGGCACTTTTTAGTAAAAAAAATTGAAAAAATTAGCGATTTTTAAATTTGTAATTTTTTTGGAGGTTTCCCCCATTTACGGGAAACGAGGGAAATTTTTTCAATTTTGAAGGGTAATGTCTTCGACTAGATACGATTTGTGATCTTTTGACGTATCGTTGAAAGAAATCCGTTCGGTGAGAGCTGAGAAAAAGTGGTAACAGACACAAAAAAAAAACACATCATTGTAAAACCAATACCTTCTCAGCTTCGCATCGAAGCTAAAATTATATTGTCGGAATAAGGTTGTAGTAATAAAAGTATAATCTGTAACAAAAAATGAGTAGCCGGGAGCGTGGTAAAATGTCGACTGACTGTCGCTTAATATTTATTTAATGAAGAAGAATATCATCGGTTTTGTTTACACCTGCGCGTGCCGCATACTTGTAGTAGGTCGTAGAGACGTTTGTGCTGATCAGGCACTAGTGTGATATTGAAATGCTAATGTTGGTGAAGGACGAATAATCTGTACGTTACTGTACCTTTTCGGGACTCCTTTTCTCATTAATGCCCAATTTAAAACCTCTCTCGGTACTCTGTCATACGCTTTCTCCAAATCTATAAATACCATACACAGCTTTTTCTTCTTTTCTCTAAACTTTTCTATTAGTTGTCTCACACGAAATACTGGCTCGATATCGATCACACGATTTCAAGAACAAAGTATCCCATTGAATGAAGGACTTGAAATTGTCAAAATAATTGTAGACAAATTTATGAGATTAGAAGGTCGCGACAGTGTTTAAATTCAATACAAATTGAAAAATGTTTTAGATAATAATCTTGGGTATAATGTTATTTGTAACATTTCTAATGTTTTAAATGGTAGAAAAGATTTAAATCTACCTGACGAAATTAATGGGAACGATTTTTCATATTTTAAATATGCGCCACTTACTTCGTTAGGCATAGAAAGATCATTTTACTACATTGTTTTACTACATTGTTACATTGTTTTCTAAATTACTACAAATACGTCCCTGGGTTTCTGTAAAATCATTTTTATTGAAGTTTATAGAAAGTTTTATTATTAAAAATTTCATGAAGCAGGTATTTTGAAAAACGGTTAATATCATTATTGGCAATATAAAATTAAAGGCAGATATAAATAGCTATTGCTAAAATTATAAAAAATATTTTGTCAAATACACCATCTGGTGTTTTTTTATGAGTAAAAACTTTATTTGGAACTAGAATTTTATATAAAACTTACCGTAATAGTCATCATCATTATTTTAATAGAAGTATTCAAATTTTTCTAAAATATGACATCTTCAAAGATTGTTTCAAAGTGTTTGTTATTACTTTGTGTGATATTATGCATAGAATCACGCCGAAATTTAATCGAAAATACTAAAATAATGAATTGTCTGTTACAATTTAACGGATGGCAACATTTAACGTATGTAAATAAAGTAATTTACTTAAAGAACAACATTATTAATATTTGGAGTATTTTAAATGAGACTGTAACATTAGATAATTGTAATACAAAAATACGACATACAACTGTTTTCCTTGGTGCCACATACGCATATTTTTTAAATGACATAGTACAATCTATTGAATGTCTTCGAGTATGTTGTTCGAAAATATTAAAAAATGAACTACACATATCAAAGAGTCATGATTGTACTATAAAACTAGTAAAATTTATATCCAATGCAATTTTATTAGCAAAAAAAATGCAAGGAGCTTTGTGTGCTATAGACATAATGCATTCTATTATATGGCAACTTCGTACTAAAAGCCCTATGATTTTAAAATTTGCATTAGAGCGTTTCATAGATTTAGAAAATCTAATAGCGCCTTATTCTGCATTGGAAAACTACGATTTGGAAACCGACAAAAATATAATATATAACATGAGAAATAAATTATCCATAATTAATCAAGTAATAAAAAATGACATCGATCGTTTTAAGATTGAGAATATTGAAACAGAAATATTGAAAATATTGAATACGGAATATACGAATAATTACGGAGAAAAAGAGATTGTAGAATTTGTAAATACTGGAATTGTCTTAATGAATAGTAAACTCAATACTATCGAAATTAACACTTATACTAATTTAGGTTTTGAATTTAATTCGGACACAGGAGAAACACGCATTAAAAGTGAATAAGACCATTTATTTGTAAGTATAAGTTAATCTATTTGTATGATATAATTAGTAAAATAGTTTATTTTTCTTATAAAAATAGCTTTTCTTTAACCTTTTTATTCTTTAATTTTACATTTTAATTTTATAAATTATTTTTAATTTTTTTTTTTATTAGAGTTTAATAAATTACACCAAATAATTTAAAATATAACTAAAAAAATTTGTACTTGAAAAATTTATTTTAACACTTATTTTATTTAATAGATGAATGAAGAATTTAAGATGAAAACGGAAGACCATACTAAAAAAATGCACAAAAGTTATAACATTGATTTAAATTATTTTTGAATTCGTGTAAAAATATGACATAGCTTTTAGTTGAACCTAAATATCATTAAGCAACACTTATATCATTTAGAAAATATATCAGAATTAAAATAATTACGGCATTTTTAATTTTACATTTTACTATAGCTCGTCCTTAGAATAAAAGGTAGATATAAGAACGAAGTTCTTATATCAGTGTTCCACTAATTGATTCAAAAAAGTTTCAGATGTTGTCTATAAAAACGCTGCTTTTAAGGGTTATGATATATATATAAACGTAAATTCTCTTAAAAATAGTGGTTTTGTGAACAACATCTGAACGTTTTCAAATTAATAAAACGAAATATCGATAGTGTGCGGAGATTAATGTACGTAGAAATTACTTCTTCTTTTTTGTTTTCATTTAATGTTATTACTAAATTAATTTGTCCATTGAATTTATGCAACTAACCCACCCCGTATTATTATTGTACCTTAGTCTCAAACTTTCATTTTAATTAATATTCAATAGTGAAGTAATTTTAAAGCACTATAATATCGGTTGATTTTGATTATTTTCCACTTTAATTAAAATGTGTCTTTGATCAAGTTTTTTTTGGTCGGTAAGCTACCGATGCGTAGATAAATAAATTGTACGAATATTATAAATTGTACCATACGGTCAGACGGGAAACTGCAGCAAATAATGCGAGAATTGTGTTGTAGAGTAGAATTTCACTACTCATAAAAATCTTAGACGTAACCAGGACAATTTTAGCGTAGTCCGATTGGTAAAAATTATTGTTCGAAAATATTTAAACGTGTGTATAAAATAGTCATAGTATACATCAGAATACATATTAAATTTTGTAGTTTCGAAAATATTGTGATTTGTGTATAATACTCTGTCGTAACGTTAGTTAATTAGATATAACGGCACGGAGCGTATAACAATAGTAAAAATAAACATATCTATAGCATCTATAGAAAAGCTGTAGTACGCCGATCTTATCTTCTAAGGCCGTTTACCAAATCGTTTTTAAATGATATATGGCTAGTAGCCATTGGCTACTTATTTGGCTAAAACACATAACTGATTCATTGATTTTTCAGGAGCATCTAAAAACTAATAGTTAAATATTTAAACAATTGTGAAACGTAGTATATTTCTGTACTCTTACTATGAAATATTATATATTATCGCATAAATTAAATTTATTTATTCAACTGCTTATAAATCTGGATTCTACTTATAATAATTAATTGGCGTTTTTTAAATCCAAAACAGATACGTCATATTTCTAAATTAGATTTTTAACAGAACTTGAATCATAACACACCCAAAGAAAAACCTCAATCAATTTTGATAGAGAAATTTTATCAAGGGTTTATGATAATGTTTTATTAATACGAACAAAATAATTATTCTTATAAATAATTATTGTTCAAGACAAGAAAAAAATTATCATATTGATAAATATATCATAGATTCAATAGTAATGATATATTTATCAAATTGAACAATGAATTTATTATACAGATCGAGGTTTTTCTCTGGGTGCATATAAGAATAACCTTTCAAATTTCAAATTCTATTCTTAAACATATTAATTCAATGGTACCAAAATATCAGTTATACATTATTGACAAATCAGTAACAACAAAAATGTTCGATACAAACACATTCTAGATTTAAGTCTTCCATCTATAAGATTAAAATTATTTATTTCTATTGAGAATGTCATAATTTCTCAGAATATAGTATTAGAAATAAAAATATAAGTTCATCAATTATTTTTATTAAAAGAACATTGTCATTATAATATTAAATGAAATGTTATTTACATAATATCAATTCCTATCGTGTAATGTATTGACAATTTCCGATTAAAATATAATTAAGTGTTTTTGTGCTGTATCTAAAAATGCCGAATAATTATCAATTATTTTATGTTAATATACAATTAAAGTTACATTATTAATTTTTTATTTTTATTTCTAAATTTAATATATCAAATTTTGATATCGTTGATATATGCTTTACTTTTTTGTATAAGTACATTGTCGATCGTAGATAAGTTTTAATCCTTTTTAAAGAACTGAATGCCCTTACAGGACTTGCTGTTGTGATAGGTATGACACTAAGAATTGTTAAAAGGCATTTAATGTTAGGGAACATAGATGCATATTTAAAAGCTTCCATTGAAAAAATATTTTTCCAAAATTTTTTCTATAAATTTAAGTCTCCACGTAGTGCTTCAATACTATAAGGCAAATTTGTTTCATATGTCATAGCCGCCAAATATGTCAAAATTTTATCGTCTATAGTTTCAGAAGCAAAGTAATATTTAGGAATAATTAATGTCAAATTTGAAATAACTGAATCATTATATTCATGAAAATATGAATATAATCCTGACAAAAGATAATTCAAATAAGGTAAAACATAGTTAACGTGGTATAATAATCAGTTGAAAATAAATCAGTTTGATTGTGGCTGAGCGTTTGCACGATTACATTGTGTTTTTGTTACTCTTGGAATTTTTACATCAACATTTATTTTTTCTGCAATTATTTTGTTTCTTCAAAATGTTTTTAAATTTTGTCTGATTTTAGTAAACACATCTTTAACATTATTGATAATTTCTACAGATTGTGTATAGTCAATATTAATACTCTGTAACTGTATTGATAGTAGAATAGCTATGGCTAAAAATTTCGTTAATATTTTTAAGGAAATCAAAAATTCAAATTTATAAATGGCTGCAGATAGAGATTGTGCATTGCTTCTAGTATGATTGCTAAAGCTTAATTCATCTAATGTAACTATTATAGCTGGTAGTATTTCCAAAAAATGTAAAATCCCGTCATGTCTTTCAACCCAACGTGTTTCACACAGCTTTTTAACTTTTACTGTTTTTTGGGATGGTAAAAGTTCTGTAATTTTTTCACTCAAAAGTTGATTTCTTAAAGCAGATTCCTTCAAAAAGTTATAAATATTTATTATAATTCCGACTGTGTTACGAATTGGTGGTACCATGCTTGCTTTACTGAACACTAAATTTAATCCATGGTTAGCACAATGAGTATAAAATGCAAGAGGCTGTAAAATTGCAATTCGAGATTGAATTCCTTTAAACGCACCACTCATATTTGCGGCACCATCATATCCTTGTCCTCGAAGCAGTGCAAGGTCTCAATTTTTTTCTTTTAATATTTGTATAATGGTGTCAGCTAAATATTCACCAGTTATGTGTTCAACTTTTTTAAATCCAAGGAAATGTTCTTGCACTGATCATGTCTCCGAATCAAAATATCGAACACGAAAAGAAAATTGTTCAGAAATACTTACATTAGTCGTTTCATCAGCTAAAATATTATAAAACTTTGAAATATGAACTTTTTGAATTAATTTTTCACTTATAACATTTCCGTAGCAATCAGTCATATCATTTTGCGTCGTCTTACTAATGTAAGTAGTATTTTTTGTTGTAGTTTTGAAATGCTCATTTAGAATTTGGTCACCAGCTTTAAATACGAAATTCTAATAAAGCCTTGAAATTTCCTTTATGATTATGAATATTACCATCAATAGAGAATATTGAGCCATCATCTCTATGCCCTCGCAAAGGTATATTTTGTAGACCACAAAATAGTATGGTTTCAATAATAGGGATTAATTTTTGCCTATATTGTTCAACTTTACGTATAATAGCAGTATCTAATGCCGTTTCTATATTTTGTATTTTCCAGACATAACACTTATGAGATTTAAAAACACAATTCTTATGGTAGTCATTATCTTGATGGACCTTAACATTTTCTTTGGATTTTTTGTAAAGAGATAATGGTACTGTAACTTATTTTCCAAGTTTCACACGACTACGACCTCCCTCATCGCTACCAAATAGAACGCATATTCTACAGAATGCTCCTCCAAGTTTTTGATTATAAGACAACCAGGGATACTCATTTATCCAGTGAAGTTTAAATGAACGATTTTTATTTCCTTGAGAAATTAGAGGAAAAAGAAAATTTGCATATGGAACACACAGATTACAAAGAACATTGCAAAGTTCGTCATCTTTTATTTTATTTAATGTAAAATTAACATAGTTGCCAAAATCTCTTGTATTGGTTATTTCAGTGACAGGTGAATGAGTAAAGTTGGATTGATCGTTTTCATTTTGAGGTATAATTTCATTTTCAATATTTTTGTTTACAATATTATTATCTAATTTTGTTTTTTTAAAAATTTTGTTTTTTGACGTTTCTTCTCTATTATTTGTATTTAAACGTATTATAAGTTTTAACGATGTAAATTTCAACGTGTTATACGATCAGTTTTATCTATAAATTTATTTTATACAAGTTAAAATGAATTCTGAAAAAAAAATTATGCCGTTTTATAGTAAAACGATACTATAATTTCTGTTGAAATGACTTATTACAATATATATAAAAAAAAAAAAACCCAGCACAGGGGAGTCGCGGCACAGTGGTGACGTGGCATAGTTGGATCAAGTATAATGATATCTGACAGTGATTAAAATCACTATCATAAGAAACGCTTCGATGCAAATCTGTAGATAATGTGTAATTTTAACAAATTAATGGATTAGTCAGAAGCTACATGATCTCCTATATCCTTACTTATATTCTGATTAGTAGTTATTTGATTTAAAAATTTAATATATGAATAAATATATAAATATTATTAAATTTAGTATGAAAATGATATTCAATAATTTAATATTGTAATGTATACGGAGAAATAATAAAAATAATAAAGTAGTTGTATATTGCTTCACTAATACGTGTATAAACATTTAAAGGGCTTGATACAATATTTTTCAATTAAAACTGATTGTTACTATAAATAAATGCACTGAACTACAAGAAATTTTCATCAGAGGTAAAAATATATTTTTCTTTTTTAACTTTCGCGCTGTTTTCAAATTTGCAGTTAGACTTTTTCTATCACTTTTAATTTTTGATGTTATTATTAACTAATAAAAAAACTGTTTTTTACTAATGAATAATTACTAATACTAATTATTAATTAATAATAATAATTACTAATAATTACTAATGAATAAATGGACGACATTTGAGGGGGTCAAGGTTGGCAACCG